TCCCACTGAGAGTGTATATCAGCATCTCCTTCCTTTATCAGTGAAGACAGTCTTCTGTCAGATTTCCTTAGGAAGACGATATGATTTGAGCAGGGCTATCTTTACCTTTCACTCTTTCATTACCCCTGAGAGGTCTGTCATACCTGCTATAGCTTAAGGACAGTACCAAGCACCAGGAATATAATGGCATGCAAGATGTGAGTCATAATTCTGTAGTCACTGGGATCAGAGTCTACCTGAGGGGAGGGCACGTGACCATTAAAAGGATAACAAACAACACATATGGACAAGAACTATAAGGCACATGAAAAAAAATGAAAAAAATTCATTTGTTAGAGTGGTTTAATTTGGGGTGATGTTTCTCCCCTTATTCACAGTTTCAGTAACCCATAATCATCTGTGGTCTGGACGCAGATGATCCTCCTTCTGATATGTGGTTACAAGATCAATGGTAGCCTAAGGCTACATCACAAACGCCGAAGTCATTCACCTCACTCCATCTCATCACATAGACAGGGTATCATCTCACATCATCACAAGAAGAGGGTGAGGACAGTGTAGTAAGAAGTTTTGAGAGAGAAAGACCACATTTATGTAACTTTCATTATAGTATATTGTTATGATTGTTCTATTTTATTACTCATTATTGCTGTTGATCTCTTACTGTGCCAAATTTACAAATTAAACTTTATCATAGGTGTGGAAAAAAACATAGTATATATGTTATATAGAAACAAAACATAGTATATATAGGATCTGATACTGTCTGCATTTTCAGGCTAAAGATAGTATTCACTGGAGGTCTTGGAACATAACCTCCCTGGATAAAGGGAGACTATATATTGTATAGCAAAGGAGTGGTATGGACAGATAACAATATTACAGTTTAAAGGGGAGAGGTGTTTCCGAAGGCTGGAAGGTATCTGAGGCCAGGCCTCTGGGGGACAGCTGGGGACTGGCTCAGTAACAGGGAGAGGCAAGTTCCCCTAAGCAGAAGGAAACCTCTGAGAGCCTTCCTTTTCTCTCTACTTTACACTGTTGTCTTTCAAAGGCTTTCACAATCCACTCGTGCTGTGTCAGCCTGAACTTACTTCCCAGGCCAAGCCTCTTATCTGAGGACCCTGTGTTTATTTCTGCCTCAATATCTTTGGCCAAGCCTATCCACCGACTGCGAGTCCTCTTTTTTCTTACCTGATAGAAATGCAAATTTCTCTCTCCTGCCCCAGCTCAAGTCCATTCCACCAATAAGTTTCCCTGGCTTTTTGAGTTCATGCCCATCTCTCTTTACCTGAAGTCTTAAGAGTTGGAATCTAAACACACAGTTTAGAATATAACAGCATACTATAGCTATGGTTTACTATCCTACCTATTTCATCACTTTTAAGATGCTCCACTATTTTTTTGTACTATCAAGAAAAACCACTTCAAATTAAACTATGCCAGGCCATCAATTGCAGAATGCACCTATATTTCAGAAATGTGAAAAAAAAGCTATTTTAGGATTGATAAAATGCAATAATGCCTCATATGTTACATTAATAGAGTTGTCTCCCTAGTTTGATTTTAAACTCCATGAATTGCTTCAAAGCAATCCTGTGATTTTGAGGGGCTATAGGTGGTTAGTGTAGGTCAAACAAGATGGGCTATGAGTTGATAAATCTTAAAGTGGATGATGGGTACATAGAGGCTCATTATGTGACTAGATAGCTAGGCAGAAAAAGTGTTAATGGGGAATTTAGAGCGAGAGTTAACATTTCTCTGCTGAATTGTTTTGTAGAATAAGATGTTCAAGGAAGAGCAGGCCTCAGGTAGGTAGTTTGTAAATGTTACTGCAGGAGCTTCCCTGACAGCTTCTGGGGATCCCCTCCCTGTCACCAAGGACTGAGAGTTCTGGCCAATGGCTACCCATCTCCTGAACACCAATCAGAATTGTGCTGAGTTTTCACCTCATTTGCACAATTTATGTACTAACTTGAATTGTACTGAGTGTTCTATGCCTATCAGAGAGCTGCCCTGTGCTTAGCTGAGGGAGACACTGCTTTGGGAGCTATTCCCAGTGCTCTCCTTTCTTGCTGCAAGTAATAAACTTTGCTTTCTTACAATCTGGCTCAGGTGAGCCTGAGGAGCTGCTGACACAAAGAGCCGACCTTCGCAGGAAGCTGCATGGACACCCACGAAGAGCTGCTCACACCTGCAGAGAGCTGCTAACACTCACTAAGAGATGATGCTCCTTGAGAGCTGACACTCAGCAAGAGGTGAACTGAGAGTGAGAAATGAACCCCTTCTGCTCTGTTATGATTATACTTGTCTCTCCTTTTGTATGTGTTCAAATTTTTCCATGAAAAAAACGTTTTTTTAAAGAAAGAACAACCTGGATGAACTTCGAGGACTTTGTACTAAGTGAAATAAGCCAGTCACAAAAATACAAATCCTGCATGATTCCACAAGGTGTCTGGAATAGTCAGATTCATAGAAACAAAGCAGAATGGTGGTTGCCAGGGGCTGGGAGGAGGAAGAAATCCGGAGTCATTCTTTGATGGGTGCAGTTCCAGTTTTGCAAGATGAAAATGTTCTGGAAATAGATGGTAGTGATGGTAGCACCAAAATGTGGATTACATTTAACATTACTGGTAAATTTTATGTTAGGTGTGTTTTTTTACCATGATAATAATAAAAAATACCTGAATACAGAGATCCTTAAAAATTCTTTTTCCTTTTTCATAGTGTCACAGTACTGGGCACATAATAGGAGCTCAATAAATATGAGATGATCTTATTCTACTCTAAAGTGTTTTTGCTGATGTCCTATAAATACCTTCTATAATACTCAGTGCACTATGGATACAAATAAAAATTAGACAGAGTGTTAATTCTGTCCTGTTGGCAGGGAAATTGGTATTTTCATGGAGCTCACTAGAACCTACGCTCCACTAGGGTGTATGGGAACGAGAGTGGGCGCTTGGTGTTTGCAGATGCGTATGTAAGGAGGGTGACAGGAGAGGTCTGTGTGGGGGGAAGTAATCTGTGTGTGTGTGTGTGTGTGTGTGTGTGTGTGTGGACAGAGCTGCCCCTCCAAGGTGTAGGTTAGACTGGGTGAAAGTCTCCAAAGCTAGAACTGAGAAGCCCTGCTCTGAGGAAAGGAAATACTTAGACCAAATCTGAGTTGGAAATAATGAACACTTTGTAACTCATCAGCTAAGATAATCTTCAAACGCTGTAAAATCCCATGGGTGCCATCTGCCCCCCACCCCCACCACCATTTCCCTGGTCACAGGCAAGCATCAGGAAACCCTGGCAGACCCCTGAGAGCCCCAGCCACACTGACTCTGCTGTAGTTGGAATTAGATAACAATCTTTAACTGGCTTATTTTTAGAAAACTAAAGCCAGGCAGCTAAAAGTCAAGGTAATCGATACAACTAGGGAATAATCTCAATATGCAAACTCTGTGCTCAGAAGAGGCACTAGCCGTTGAGTAGGGACTCAAGAGAGTCAGACCGTCTCCTCCTGCCTAGGTCAAGAACTGAACCTTAAAGGGTAACCTGTGCCTTCATTAATGAGTAGAAATCTGATTTCTAATTACCACAGTCCATCTAAGAATCAAAATCCCTTAGGGGATTTAGATTTTCTTTTTTTCCTAGAAAACTACTCATACACTTCTTTATAAAATGTGGGGGGAAATGCAGAAAAGGAGAGGTGTTTCGAACCCTGGCTGGTGGCTCCAGTTCATTACAGCTGCAGAAACACTGACAAATCTTCTCTTCCTGGAAGCCAGCTTCATTTCGATTAAACAAGCTGAAAACTTCTTCTTCTTTAAGAGGTACCCTTACCATTTCAATCTGGAAGATAGGAGAGGCCTCGTACAGGTGGTGAGTGGTGGAAGAGAGGGGTTCCGAGGAGGCAGAGGGGAGGAAAGCTGTTACCTCTTTTAATAGCTTGTGCTTTAGGTGGTAAACATTGACAAATGTAATGGAGTTGCAGCACTGGAAGATTTTCACCCCAGGAATGTTTGTAACCTGCAAGACAAAGGTGAAGTCAAGGGAAATTTATAAGCTTTTTTACAGAGTAAGAAAAAGTCTTTAGAACATTCTGGGGAGTCTGAATTCTTCTTTATAAGAGGCAAGGATGGAAACAAATTCCTTCCTCCCATTTTTCACCCCATGCTTTTCCTTTCTTCTTCCCCCTCCATTTTTTCACTCTTCTCTTTTCCTTGACCTTTCCCTACTAAAGTACATTTTAAAATTACCCTTAGGTGGCTGCAGTACTCTAGGGATTTCCCTTTTAATTTGCCTGCCTCTACCATCATGCATCAATTTTCCCTTCTTGGTAAATGCGCATCTGTAGTGTAGCAAACAACAGCAAAGGGATTTTGTAGAAAAATTAAACAGGAGGCCTGGTCCACCCCATCCTTTGGGAAAAGGAGTGGGTTGATTTGGATTCTTACCTCCTGGTAGTCACTGATGCTTCTGTAAATGTTGGTGTTAGGGATCTGACCCAGGAGGAGAATCTTAGTTCTGAAAAGAAATGCATTTGCCTTCAGGCCATTACCAGCCGTACCTTGCCTGGGCCATCCTCCTACCACCTGAGACAAAGTACCTGTGTGACTGAAGAGTGATGACAAAGAAGGCAAAAGCTACTGAAATGAGCAGTCCAAAGTCCAGCCCCAGGAAAATGGCAGATATGAATGTCACCATCCAAATAATCTTATGGAAAAGCAGAAGAGAAAAGGAAGGCCGTGATAAGAAGCAGAATTGAGAGAATCACCAGTCCTATCTCTTAATTTACCTTCACCCTCTCCCAACACCAGGGATTTAGAGAACCAATTCCTCAGCCATGTGGACTGATGCCTTCACAAATGATTTGGTCCCAAGATTGCCCAGCAAATTTTTTTATGCATCCTTGGTCACTTCCTTCAATTCTCTCTCGAAACTTCAGTTTCGTTGCATGTAAAATAGGCATAATAATATCTACTTTATAGGCTTTTTGAAATTAGAATTACCATTGGTAAGGCCACCCAGAACAGTCACTGAATGCTAGTTGCTATTTTAAGATCTATAAGAGTTATTGCGAATCTTTAACAGCTTTTTCAAGCCCTTACCCCACCACCTTCTACATCATTTCAGCAAGTGATTAGAATGTCATCTTCACAGAGAAGATGGCTGAAACTTCCTTAAGTATTTATTTACTTCCCTCTCCACCTGTGTTAGTTAGTATCTGCCCTTAACTCTCCCCCGTTCTCCCAGTCCTACCGGAAGTGTTATCCCTCCTCCTAGGACGAGAAGCTCTACCTGTGCACTAGACCACATACCCTTTTAGCTCCTCAGGATTAACTCCAAAACTAATCCTCTTTTGCATCTCTTTGCCTGTACTGGTTCCCTCTCCTCTCATTGTATTATATCCCCTCCACCTTTAAAAAAAAATTTCTTGCTGTTTCCTGTTTCTGTCCCTGAGTTTGGGGCTCTAGAGAGAAGGAGGGTGGTTCATCGGCTATTCTGCCTGACATGACACTGCCTTCTCTCATTAGGAGTTGTGTCTCCATCCTGGAATGTATTTACATTAACTGGATTGAAAGTCATTCAAAGAAGCAATGTATGACAAACCCTTCTTACTAGATTTGCATGTAACTGTAGCCACTTAATTTTGCATAGCTGGAATGAGGCCTCAGTATTTCCATGCACCAACAACTTTGGCTGCTTTTTTTAAGCTTGGGTATTCAGCATCCAAGAATGGCAAGTGTCCTTCATGTTGATGTCTTTCTTTCTCTCCAACCTTCCCCTTTGTCCTTCCCCACCTTAGCCAGTGTGTCTACACTTACACAGTCATATTGGTTCTGTCTCCAGAGATTGGGTAGGTTGTAAATGGTTTGAAGATAGGGTAGTATGTTGCTCAGGATGACACCAGCCACCACAGCCTGTGGGGAAAAGCACAGCCTCATATTCCCTTCAGGGACAAAACTCCTAAATCTCCGTAACCACAAAAAGTTAGCCTTGCCACTCAGAGATATTAGGCATTGATTTTTGTGAAAATTCACAATTCTATTCATTGTCTAATCAAATAAATTCTCCACATTTTTCTCTGCTCTCCTCCATAATTTGTCAAAAGGACAAGATAAGGTGAGACCATGGCCAAGGCCTGATTGATTTGGCCAGTAAAGTCACAACAAGTCCCTGTTAGGTTCAGGCCATTGGTTACTTACACTACTAGTGAGAGAAAAGTAGCCAAAGATTGCATTATCTAGTCCCTTCGGTTCAGGTGTTGTCACTTTTGATGTATGGGACAAGACTCGCTAGGAGCTGACACATTTGACTACTTGGCCTTACTTTGTCTAGATTGGGTGAAATATCTGTGACCAACATTGCCTTGAAACCATTCTCAGGTGGGATGACAAATGAAGGAAACTTTCACTCCCAGAGATTCTAAAAGCATTTCAGTTCAAATTTAATCATGGTACACTATAATTATTTCAATAATAAGATACCATCTTTTGTCTGTCAAATTAAATTTAGCAAATTTAAAACATTGAAAACACCCCATGTATATGGTTGTTGAGTATAAAAGGGTACTGTACTTTTGGAAAATAATTCAGTTATGTATCAAGAAATGCTGATATACTGTCACAGAGTTTTATTTTACTTTTAGAAATTTATCCTAAATATGGAAAAGGGTAGATGTACAGAATTACTCATTGTTATGTTATTTGTAATAACAAAAACTCATGCAACCTAATTTTCCAGTAAGAAAACTATTAAATAAGTTATAGTATGGAGGAGCATGCTATATATTAAAACAAGAACACAAAAGTGTATGCCTTGATATGTATGTACTATATGTATATAATTGTACAATTATGCAAAGTAATATCCAGTCATACAAAATAACATTGGTTAGATATATGACAAAATATTAATAGTGGTGTATTTGTGATTATGGATGACATTTTTACCTATTATGAATTCTCCATAGTTTAAAAAATAAGCATGTTGATTTACATTTCCCTGTATGACCCCGGAAGATGACTGGTTAGCCAGAGACAGGTAAGATTCCTCAAGGGAAGAACAACCTAAGACAGGCACAGTCGCAGGGGGGCCATCAGGTGAGAAATTGGGGATCAACAGAGGTGAGGCTTAGAACCTCACCCCCCCTGTTTTGAGAGAAATCTTCTGCATCCGTGGATGTTTTATTGCCCTTGTCTAGCTTGGATTAACACTTAGTATACAGGCACACACCTGAT